CCCAATGTGGAATGGATTATGTCTCTGACTTGGAGCTGCAGATTCACATGTATATACACGGAGATGAGGCCTATCTCCAGAGAGTCCAGACACAAAAGCGTATGGATGGGACTGACCCTGAGAAAATTGATAGACCCGTGATGCAAACAACCCAACGTCCTACAGCCAATGTTCCACCTCACCAGGTACATGAGCCAGAGAGTAGAGGGATCAGGTCTACAGAGAAGTCTGGTACTAGTGGTAGTACTACCTTGGAAAGAGGTACAATGCAGAAGCAGACGAGCAAGAACTATGTGTGCGAGATCTGTGGGAAATCATTCGGCAGTTCGAACCACTATCGGCGTCACATGCCACTACACACGGGTGAGGTGCCGTATGAGTGTGAGAGATGCAACAAGAAATTCAAGTGGAGAAGCTCGCTGGATTCACACAGAAGATCACATGCACGGAAAGATGCTCTTACTGATGTATAGTTCAGTCAATCCATGAACTTTAAAGCCCGTCTGTACTAGTTTGGCCAGGGGGGATTAGACCTCCCTGCAAGGTCACTGACAAGTGTCTATCTCATCAAATCAGCTCTCAATTAACATAAGAAAAAAAGGATCATGGGGAACATGGTCACCTATGCATTGTTTTCTAGATAGAGGGAGCAAGTAGTACAGTGGGGCTTTAAAGATACAGAGTATGATTTGTAAGAAGTGTTGGCAGTACCTTTGGCATGTCTTTCCTATAATTTTCATTTTTAAGAAGGGCATCTGCCCAATCAACAACCAACCATCATTTTTCATCCTCTGGATTTACCCATATACAGTTTACCAGGGTAGGCATACTCACAAAATTCAAATATATATGCAGCAGGATGGCCCACAAAAAATTCAAACATTTAAAATTGAAATGTGGAAGGAGTATGAACAGATGTGTATGAAGCGCAAAGTCTCTTCTGCCCAGGGTACTGGGGTGCTTTTCACAAAACTTGTCACAGGTGACAAATGACAGTTTTTGTTATAAGCTACTGAAATCCTTGCTTCTGATTGGTTGATCAGCAGATTTGTGACTGATTTTTGTCATTTGTCATTGAAAAAAGGCTTTGTGAAACAGGTCCCAGGGCTCTAGGATCCTTATTTGCCCTCTGGTGCAATCTGAGCTATATTTTGGAGCATTTTCAATTAATTTCGTGACTAATATTACAGGAATTTTTTTGGTTGGAAAAAAAGTTTAACTGGTCTCTTATTTTAAAACCTGTAATTTCAAAATTCAAACCTGTCACTGTTAATGTTGATACCCCTCATGGACCACCCTGGTGCAGTCTTTTCCCAGGCAGCTCCTGGACATCCCATAGAATCGTGGGTTAATTCTATAACACATATGTCAATGAGATGTCCAAGAAGTTAGACTTCTCAAGTTAGATGGTTTCAAGAAATGGGCCCCCTGGAGTTCAATATTTTGAGGGTCTGTATGCAAGGCTCTTTTGTGTACCCCCCCCCCCTTTTTTTTTGGGGGGGGGGTCTAGAGTTGATATTAAGGGCCATGTCCATCATGTACCCCTGTATAAAAAAAGACTGTATGCTTTCTTAGCAGTCAGGTAAAATAACCACCACTGTAAGTAAGGATAAAGATTTTGTTATGCTAGAAAATATATCATTTGTGTTTGTGTGTCTATATAAGGGTTAGAGATACATGCTCCATAGTAGTTCTGAGATAAGGTCTCAATGAATCTGCCTTTCTTGCTCAAATTGGTAGCAATACTTGTATGTTACACCCTTTCTTAGTTTAAGAAATAACCATGTATATTAGAAAATCGACATGGAATTGCCAATTTGATCACGGAAAGTGATTTCATTGTGTATTTCCTCTATATAGATTATAGACACTTCAGTGACTATTGTTTTATCAAATCACTCCTAATCATGAACAACTCAATTTTCAGCAACAGAAATGGACTCATATTTTGGTGTTGGATCAAAGATTATCAAATTATATATTCAACTCTCTGGATCGCTTCTATGTTAAATGCACATTATATCATGCTATTGAAATTATTTGTTCATTTTGGTTGTTAACATTTTTCCCATTAGCACTTTAAAGCTAAGGAAAACTTATGTTACTGGAAATTTGGAATGTTCCTTTCCCTCCTAATCGAACCTAGTTTGATCAATTTTTCAGAGTATCTTTTTTATTGATATGTTTGAACGCAGTAAGGAAGGGAAACAAGAGGTTGTTGACTGGAATTTAGTAAGCAGTATATAGAGTGGTGAAGTGTGACATCATCAAAAATCTAATTTTAGAATTTCTCAATTTTTTCTTCATTTCCGAAAGAGCATAAAAAATAGTGTCCAAATGTCGAAAACCAATTGAATATGTTAAGTATTGTCTTAGATAGGACCATCTGATTAAATATACTCCCCATAGGAGCTCAGTGTTATATGCTCTGGCTCCTAACCACTAGGAGCCAGAGCATATAACACTGAGTTCTCATAGGACATATATTTATTCAGATGGTCATATCTCAGCCAATACTTAACATATTCAATTGGTTTTCGACATTTGGACATTATTTTTTATGCTCTTTCGGAAAATGAAGAAAAAATTGAGAAATTCTAAAAATAGATTTTTATGACGTCACAGCTTCTGTACACTATACAAGGCCTGATGTGAGAAAATTCTTCTTTTCAAATTTTGTAATTGGTACCTGGAACAGTTTGCCAGAGGAGGTGGTATCAGCACCTTGTATGAATTCTTTTATTAAGCAACTCAATAGACACTTAAATAATGCTGTTTTTGTTTAGGAATTTGATTAAATTGTTAGTGAGGGGAGTGTTTCACAAAGATCCTATTAGTTGAACTTATCTCTTAGTTGGGCTTAACAATTATGAAAAGCTGGTAACATCTTCGAAAATATTTTGTAAAAGTTATTTTAAAAGGCATAAAATGTTGATTCAAATCATTCATATTTTCTGTTATCAAGGAGATTGCTCTTATGTGGAATTTATGAAAAGTCTAAAATACTTGAATTTCTGCTTTTTTATATATTTCATTTTGAGGCTACAAATGGCTCTCCTTAATTTTTAAGTCCAACTGAGTTACGTTCTACTTCGGATCTTTGTGAAACACCCCCCTGGTATGATGGTATATCTTACTTGTGTCACCCTTGCATTGTACTTCATATACTCATTGGTCACAATCCTAGCATGATTTTTTTTCCGATTAGATTTTCCATCTGAACCACACCTTCTCCTTCGGTGGTATAATAATGTCCTTTGGCAAGACTAAGTAAAATAGTACCTGGCAAGAATTATTTCCTTCAAATGCTAATTTTCTATAATGGCAGCCATGCTTAAGCGGGGTAATAATTTTGGACTCAAGTGCCAGGAGTGTCAAGTCTGACAGACATGGGCGCTATACAAGACCCACTTTTATTATTAGTAGAAGAAACAGTTAAAATGCCATATACGAACACGCAGTCGAATTTGATAGTATGAAGCAGCTGAACTTTTTACCAATGATTGACAAGCAAACCCTGTCTTACAATCACTCGTTTGATAGTAAAGTAAAAATGTGTTTATTATTAAATTATTTTATTATTTACTATATTTCACCATGTATTTTTTACACATGTAAGTGCAGTTTTGTATATTTTATGTATCTATAAATAGCCAAAAGTTGGGTCTGAGCTGAAATAATTGAAGATATATACATTTAATAATAAATCTTATCAAAATGTACCAGTTGCATATACACATTCTTCTCCTTCTCTTTATTCCCTCCCTCAAAGTATATCTAATGCTTCCAGAGTTTAGAATTGATTCACATAGAATTTGACTTTGAAATGAAATGACTTGGAGAATCTAACATTTACCGGGATTTGAACGATAAATCCACTTTGCAATTATAATTATGATTACATTTACATACTTTTACACAAAAACTATATGATCCTGATTGTAAATTATGTGTCTTGATATTGGTTATTACATTTTTGCTGGTTTTAACATGGAGTTTTATGTTAGGGATCACTTTTAAAGAAATTATGTTTCCAAGAAATATCTAGACATGTCTCTAAAATGATAATCTTAGGAATTTGAGGGTCATATTGTAAATGTTAGAATATTGTTTGCCCATTCTTTGTGATTCATGAACTCAGGATGATGACTACAGAATAGGATGAGAGAGAGAGATAGAAAGTGATGGGTATACATGTAGAGAGAGAGAGAGAGAGAGAGAGAGAGAGAGTAATGGGTACAGAGGAAGATAGAGAGAGAGAGAAAGTGATGGGTATATATATATAGAGAGAGAGAGAGAGAGAGAGAAAGAAAAAAAGTGATGGGTATAGATGGAGAGAGAGAGAGAAAGGATAGGTATATAGATGGAGAGAGAGAGAAAGTGATGGGTATAGATGAAGAGGGAGAGAGAGAGAAAGTGATGGGTATATATGGATAGAGAGAGAAAAAGTGATGGGTATAGATGGAGGGAGAGAGAGAGAGAGAGAGAAAGTGATAAGTATAGATGGAGAGAGAGAAAGTGATGGGTATAGATGGAGAGAGAGAAAGACTTGAGTAATGGGTGTAGATGGAGAGAGAGAGAGAGAGAGAGAAAGTGATGTGTATAATATATATATAAATAGAGAGAGAGGAAAAAAAATAACGGAGAGAGAGAGAGAGGGGGGGGGGGGTCTAAAGGAGGAAGAAACAGTTCTTTCAGAAAGAGAGTGATAAAGGGGCAGACAGATCAAACAGCTAGGGAAGGGACGGTCTACAAAAAGGGGTAAAGGGTAGTTAGGAGCTAGTACGTGGTAATAGGAAATGGCCTGAAATCATATAGTTGTTAACTGAATAACAGTTTATCCATGTTAGATGAAAGAAAGTAGAGAGAGCAGATGTGGACAATGATTGTTGTTCACTTTTTCCTTTTACTATGTTTTATTTAGACTATGTAAACACGTCGCACGTTATCCGGATTAGGGATTGAATGAAACATCGGATCGGATATCGGCCGGATTTGTTGCATGTTGCTGCTGAGCTGAGCCGAGTTCGAGACTAAAAATATATTTGTACGAGATCTAAATTGATATAAAAATGGTCCACTTATCTCTTGTGAGAATGATCAGGTCAAGGGGACCGGACAGATATTGGAGGAAGAGATTCTACCTTGACCAGTCAACGGTAAGAGCACGAAAATTGATCATTTGTGAACATGACATTTGTGGCCAGTCCCACGTGTTTCTTTTCGTGTGTGAGCATGTTTAGCCGAGAGACAGAACTTAAAAATCTATTTTATGCTTGACCAACAATGTCATTGTGGTAACTTAGTAGATCGCAACAATTTAAAGGGGGCAGAATGTATTGCTAGTGCTGGGAATACCGTAAAGATCTAGACTCTAGCATTAATAATAGTGTTGGTAGACTCTAATTCACTTCTTTGCTCCTTTTTCAATTTCAGTTTGCATTTGTTTCATTTTGATTGTTTGCAAGTATCGATGTGTGCTCTGCATTTTGATTCTTTTCTAGCAATACTTTGGCCGTAGGAGGAACTGCTTTTCAGTGGCTGTCAGAGCTGTGAGGAGGGCGTGGCAGAATTCAACCGCCGGCCGCAAGAAGAAAAAGGGACAGATGAGGAGGGTAAGAATGTTACTATACCCAGACGTTGTGTGTCCGGACTAGCCTTAAGGGCTCTCTCGAAATGTTTTTTTTAATGATATTATTCGAGAGAGCCTTAAACGGCTCCCATACCCCTGCACGGAGAGGCATGTAAACAAAACTCAAAAGTGGTCCAAAATCACACTTTCGCGCACCCGACCAATATTGGACAGTGGCTTTGATAAATTTTGTCGTAGTTTTGGTCTTAATTAGCGCTTTAATTTCAAAATCGGATCTAAAAATAACAAAATAAGAGCAATTTTCTTACCAGACCGATACAGCTCAGCTCCCTTTTCACGTGTACCGTGTGAATTCACGATGTCTACACAATGGTGATGACCTCTGACTGGCACTTCCGTAATTGTGGGTAAATTGTGCTGCTTCCGTATAATGCGCTGTATGAGTGTTATTCAGCGCATTATACGGAAGCAGCACATTTACGAAGTGCTAGTCAGAGGTCATCACCATTGTGTAGACATCGTGAATTCACACGGTACACGTGAAAAGGGAGCTGAGCTGTATCGGTCTGGTAAGAAAATTGCTCTTATTTTGTTATTTTTAGATCCGATTTTGAAATTAAAGCGCTAATTAAGACCAAAACTACGACAAAATTTATCAAAGCCACTGTCCAATATTGGTCGGGTGCGCGAAAGTGTGATTTTGGACCACTTTTGAGTTTTGTTTACATGCCTCTCCGTGCAGGGGTATGGGAGCCGTTTAAGGCTCTCTCGAATAATATCATTAAAAAAACATTTCGAGAGAGCCCTTAAGGCTAGTCCGGACAGGTTGTGTATCCGGAAAGTCAATTTAAAGGGAGTGTAGCTTTGCAAATACTGGTTAACGCTATCTACGTCTTCTTTTAGACGACTGCATGGTCGTAAACGAATGGACTAGATAAATGGTAGTCAGCGACTGAATCTTTACATGGTTAGCATTTGCGAAACAGACCGAAATCCTCTTCAGGCTTCAGTTTTGCGATAGCTGTGGTCGCCTCGTCTGTAGTCGTATAATACCCAATTGGTCCTTCGTCGGGCCACACTCCCTTTAAAACAGTAATTTGAAGAAGTTCACAACTTCACACGCAATATTTCATAAATCTATCAAGACTCATGTGGGACAATATTATAAAGGATAAATATTTATGGTGGTTATAGTGCTATGTGATGCACACATATTGTTAAATCCATAGGCAAAAGTGGTTTCTTGAGTTCTGTAAAGCGTCCAGATGCAAAAAAAAGCATCATACCACTGATACCAGTAATATTTTGGCATTGGCATTTGATTGCCATTTACAAATTTGTCACAGAAATGTGACATTCGTTGTTGGTGACAATTTGTATGAAACAGGTCCTCCAGATAAACTAAAATCTTAGATGTGGTTGTTGAAGGTATTAGACTTCATAGCTTGGACTCACAATAGAGAAAATCAAGCCATATATATTGTATTTGTCTATTCTAAAGACCGTCTGCACTAGTTTGGCCAGGAGGGATTAGACCACCTTGCTGGTCAAGTTGACAGGTGGTTATCTCATCTACTCAGCTCTCAATTAACATAAGAAAAAGAGGATCATGGGGGACCAACAGGCACCGATTAGGCATTGTTTGCTATATATAGGGCGCAAGTAGATAAAAGTAGTGCAGTGGGGCTTTAAGATATGAGACATAGCTTGGACTCACCATAGACAAAATCAAGCCATGTAAAATTGCATTTGTCTAAGATCCATCTTTTCTCCTTTTTTGTCATTTTTCCTCTAGCTCTGGAACCTGAGAATCAGTGCCGCTGTCCAGGAGCATGGGTTAACGTATGGACCATTCATTGGAAATCTTTTGAAGGTAAGATTACATTGCTAATCAGTGAATTCTGTAGAAATTAAAACAGGCTTGTTATTTCAATTCAAGCAATGTAAACCTATGTAAGAATTGAGATGATCAGGTGTATGTGTATGCAATGTTTTGATTTTTGTAGTCGCATGAAATGTTTAGCTTTCTAGAAATCTTAGCTTGGTCTTAACCATAAACAGTGGATTTTTCATTTAATCAGCTATGATCAACAAATATATCTAAGTTCCTTTAATTCCATTTTAAGATCAAATTTGATACATGTATCATGATTATCAATGTTTATCTTTCATTTAGAAATTACATAGAATTGACCCAATTTCAATAAAACATCAAAATCCAAAAATGTGTTTCAAAATTTAAAACACATTATGAAAAATTGCTTATATTTAATCCATAATTAACCATGCATAGCCAAGTTAAATTTATGTATTTCTGCTGAAATTATTTTAATGTGATTTTTCTTCTTCCTATTTTTGTTAACAGCACAATATTCGGCTTGACAGGAAGGTCCTTTCTCATATAGCCATCTATGAACCAAAGACATTTAAGGTAAATTCTGAATTTCAAAGATACTACCGAGTGGCTTGCCTGTATTTAAAAAAGTATATATGTGTAAATGTAATCGTCATATGGTATACGATTCATTATGTTACTTACTTTATATCTAGATTTGGTCATTAGTAAATAGTAAACCCGTTAATCTGGATTTCTTTCACCTCTTCGAAATCAATGTTTGTTTTTGAAATTATTTTTTTGCCTCGTCTTTCATTTTCTTCTGATTCATAATCTAAAAAGTGAGAAAAAATAAAAAGGATCATATACCCAAAACAATTCCTTAAATCATCTGTTTAGAGCCAGAAAGGCGTTGACTCTATGGTGAATGTATGAATTAATACCCTTTCTGGGGAGTGTTTCACAAAGATCCCAAGTTGGACTTAACAATTATGAAAAGCCGTTAGCATCTTTAGAAATATTTTGTAAAAGTTATTTTAAATGGCATAAAATGTTGATTCAAATCATTCACATTTCTATTATCAGGGAGATTTCACATGATTTCATAAGTCTAAATACTTGAATTTTTGTTTTTGAATATATGTTATTTTAAGTTCACAAATGACTCTTAGAGTTAAGTTCGACTTAGGATCTCCCCAGCTCTCTGGAGACCGTTTGTTCATGTGTGCTTACATACTGCGATACATGGGTATCTATGTGTGTTAATTATTTTCCAAATTTTTTTGTGCCAATGTCAATGATCTCATCTGTTCTTTCCCATCCATCCAGTGTTTAGCTGAGCTAGCCAGCCAGAAGCACAAGGAAGGACTCTTAGCAACGCTCGCAAAGAACCCAGAGGGCTTCCTATCAGGCCCCGTCACGCAAGACGACCTTTTGGCCGAGAGCGTCCGCAAACTACGACTGAGCTCCAACCCGTCTGCCTCGTCGTGACCTAATGGTCATGTGATCGCAAAAGACTTTGAACAATAACCCAATTCAGTGTGTACTGTAGCTGATGGGAAAGACTGAGAAAAACTGTTGGATTTTTTTGCAGATGGTCAACAAAATGAATCAAACAACTTTTTATATCATATGCCGTTGAGAAATGATGATAATGATGGCCTCTTGTCGCGGCTCTTGCACTACAATGTCTCACAAATTCAACGTTCTTGGTCAGAACATGCATTTCAAATTAAAGATTAAAATGAATTAAGGATCCATCATTATCAACTTGCATGTTCTGTGATTCCAAAGAAAATCTGGAACCATGCATAGCAGTGCTATATATAACACAATGGCACTAACCCTCCAATTGTGTGCATGCACGATGAATTGTATTGCAAAATATGCATTTACCAATCACGTGAACTTTGTAGAGATGAGCTAACATGTATTATATACCTCACTTAAGAAATCCAGCCATCTGATTGGTCGAATTGCATTCATAAACTTCAACTGTTCCTGTAAAATTCTCGGTAACCATGCTTAAAACATTTCAATATTTTTAATAACCATGGTTATTAAAAATAGTTGGTCAGCCTCCATGGTTACCCCATAGGTTTACATGTTAAAAAATGGTTTGAGCGATGGAGGATACCGTATGTGTGCGAAGGATTGGTCGGTAATTTCAATACAATTGAATCTCGATCGATCTTACCGACAATTTTATCTTGCATTGTTGACATGAAGACGAAAATAAACTTCCAAAAACAAAAAAACAACATCTGCCGATAGATCTTGATCTAAGTTCGTGCCAATATGCATTGCAAAAGTAAAAGAAGAGTCCGTATATGGAGCTTTTGCGAAGCATTCATCACACGCGAAGCCGGTTTCAATCCATCTAATGTATATATTGTATAAAGCTGCCAAGCATGTAAACATCGCGCGATGGCCGAGAGGTCTGAGGCGCTGACTTTAGATACATCACCTTTTGTACGCAAGAGTTCGAATCTCATCTTCGACAAAAAAAAAAAAGTATTTTTTATTTTTTATTTTTTAGTCTATTTTTTTTCGGCATATAAAAGTATTAATGACTGCTTTAATATTCGAGAAATAGTTGTTTTTATACGCTCTCGGGAAGGTTAGAATTGGGCTATTCCCCTCGGCACGCCTCGGGTAATAGCACAATTCTAACCTTCCCTTGAGCGTAATAAAACAACTATTTCTCTCAAAGCAGTCATTAATACTATACTATTATATCAAGGATGTGGTTTCAAACTTTCAATCCTATTCTAATGTTTTGGACATAGAATATTATCCTTCGATGTAAATTTTCTCTTTGAAAGGTGCATCATGTAAAGCTACGTGTATCAGTAAATTCATATTATAACTGTGTATACTTGGTGTAACAGTGTATTCTGTTTATGATTTGAATTTTATTGCATTTTATTTTTCATTTCAATCTCTTGACTTTACAGGACAATATATGAATAACATGGTAATGTTACATGAATTTTGAGTGGGTGTCTTTAATTGAAATATGTTTCAAAGAGATACATACGTCCAAGATGAAGAGACCTAAACTATCATCAGGATTTCTGAGAAAGACAGAGAGAGGGAGAGGTAAATGGAAAGAGAGAGAGAGAGAGAAAGAGATGAAAGAAGGAGAATGTAGGAGAGGAAGAAAGACAGACATTGGGAGACAGCTAAAAAGGCAGGATAGGGAAATGGAGAAAGAGAGAAGGAAAGGAATGCAAGGAAGAGGGGATAGAGACATGGGAGTTGGCCAGTGTAACCAAGGTATGAAACAGTTACGGTAATCGACAGGAAAGGGGAAAAAAGGGGAGGTACAAAACAAGATTTACAGAATATGCACATGTAGGAAGTTTGGGAGCGATGAAAAAGATCCAAGTACGACTGGATAGAAAGTGAAAGATTGTAGGCAAGTGTTTATAGAAGTACGTCTTTCTTTAAAAATAAAATACAAGACATCTTGTACGATTGCTAGAAATAAAACAGAACACATCAAACACTATAAAAAGGATCACTTATATCATTACCTTTTATTTACACATATTCTATAAAGTGATTGATATACGCGGACAAGAGCCCGCTTTTCACGGTCGAGTACTTTCGGCAAATATGGAGTGCACATGCAACATCGCATGCATCTACTGCCGACATGAAAATCAGTACAGTGGGACTACATGTAGACTACAAAACTGTAGAAAACCAGAAGAATGTTTAAGCCCTTCTAGGGCTCTGAACAGATGAAATATTAATACTCCACATACATAGGTATAAAATTGTTCATATTTTATGGGAATACATGTACATCATCAAATTTGAAGTGAAAAAAATAATTAATGATTATTAGAAGGCAAGCATGCAAACTATTGATAAATGGTGTTTTTTTAAAAAGAGAATTAGAATAAAATACTGGTAAAGCAAAAATATGTGTCGTAGTGATTGTATACTAGATAAGCATGATTTATAAACTGAAACATAGTCTTAATTATAAGTGAATTAGCAGCAATATCAGTGGGATAACATAGGTAAAATCATAGGGGGTGGCAATGGTCTTAAGAGATAGTAAAAATACTCAGGAATGGGGGCGAGGGGGGGGGGGGGGTGGGCGAGGGCACCCCCCCCCCCCCCCCTCCAAAGTGGAAGGAAAAGTCATCACAATGCAAGTGTCCCTCCCTGTGTCTGCCCGGGGGCTGTGCCACTGACCCTTAATGTGACATAGCACTAATACTTAAGCTTAACAAATTTAGGTAAAACATAAATCATTTTTAAAGTCATATACTGGAGATTATTTGAAAAGATTGTTAGCAAAAAGTGTAATCAAATAAGCTTCTTTTTTAAACATACATGAAGGGATATTATGACGGCCTCTATCTGTTCACCTATTGTGATAAAAGGGTTACGGTAGACCAGTTTCATTTCCACAATGAATGAATTGTACATTATTAATTGTGGAGGAAATCGAGTCTCTGAACATCCCAATGTCTACAAAAAAACATCAGGTTGGCAGATTATTTTTTTTCCAAAGTTCAATAAATCAATATTTCCGCTGCTGATAGCATAAAGTATTATTTTAAACCGGATTCAGAGTCTCATGAAATGATTTCTTATATTCTCAGGAATGTTTCAAGATTTTCACAATTTCTAATTCCTGTAAATTTTCATCACAAATTTGCAACTTTAGCTTCCAAGAAATTACAAGTACCGTACAATATTACTATTTACTAATAATTGTTTAATATGTTTGTTTTTTTCTTCCCGGGGTAGCCTTGTCAGTGTTAATACTATTCTGCAAACATATTATTACCCCTATCTATATCTAAAATATATTGATTTCAGACTGTTGATACACACAAATTATTTAATATTCAAAATTTCCATTACCGGTAATCATTTTTTTCCCTTCATATTATGGTGCATTGTGCTTCTGGTAAACACCAGTGGATGTTAACAGGCGAGGATCCAGGAAATCTTAGGGGTGGGGGCCCAATTTTTTTTTTTTTTTTGCTCCCGAAAATTTAAAAATCACGCCGGCCGAAAATGTCCTCAGTGTAGGGGGGGGGGGGGGGGGGGGGGGGGGGGGTGGTAGTGAGCAAATTTGTGTATTTTTTGGCCCTCAAAAATTTGCACCCCCCCCCTTGAGTGCCAGGGGGGGGGGGGCCAATTCCCAAAAAAGATTAAATTTACAAGTTTTTACAAAAAAAAATTCCAGGGGGGGGGGGGAGGGGGGGGGGGAAGGGCGGCCCCCCCCCCCCCAGATCTGCCACTGGATGTTAACAAAGCTCTGGTTTCAATCATAAAGGTTTCAAACTACAATTACGGTCTGAATAAAATATATCACCAATTAAACAATGTTCAGATTTAAGATTGAATGTCATCAATACAAAATACAGATACTACATTAATCTTTAACATATAAAAGTAAACCTTCCTTCAGTGTCTAGTTTACAGAATACAAAATATGAGCTTTAAATTAGATTCTACTTCAATTATATGGCATCCCAAACAAGTAGCAAAATATGACAATATTAGTGCTGATGTGAGAAATTAATGCAGTTTACTTAAAGACTTTAAAAAATTGAGTAGAGACATTTATTAACTACTTATTAGTGCAAGTTCACAAGTTTAAATCTAAATTGAAACTCTGAAGTCTAGTCTACCTGCTAGCAAAGTCTATTTATTTTTTTATCGCAAATTTCCAAAGGCACTTTATCTGTAAAACCCATTTTATAACCCAATTTGGTGCAAGGATGTAACAGTACAGTGAACTAAAGGATAGACAATAATATAGTGTAGGTACGAGTCAAAACTGTTTATTTCTTCCATGAGGCTCATCTCCCTTCTATGCACGTTGACTGGTTGGTCTGTGTGTAAAAATCCATTTTACTCACGGTCAGTTTAATTAGCAGCAGAAGTATGGGCTGTACCATAAACTGAATATTTCAATCACTTGTTACATCGTCCGTTCAAAGGCAGAAAGGCATCGACTATTTAACTTGTATTATTCAATAAAGGGTTAAGCCCTTTTGGCTAACAACAGATGACACGATCCAGTAATATCAAGACGATGTTAACAAAACATACCTTATGGTCATTGTGTGCGACTGGCTTCATAGATGCTGGTGTGCATTAAAAAAAAGCCCCACAGCATTAAAAATAATAATTATAATTTTTACCCAGGGTAGCCTCATTGGTATCAATACCGTTCTCCCTGAGGGCCCTGCAATCATATTATTACCCGACATAGCAGCAGCAAATCAATAAATGAATTACTGCATATACCACATACCTGAAAACCACATTTGGGGGAGAGGATCCCTATTGTGATATACACAGGAGACATGGGAACAGAACATCCTTTATAAGTGTTTAGTATAAAGAAATGGCAATGACTTGTATAAATAATTGTCTCATTAATCATTTAACATAACTATAATTACTACATATATATAATCTTTTTATCTATTTACAGTACAAATATCAAAGCTGATGAAATTTTGGAGGATTTCATTTTTACAGTTTACCTGTATTGGATGGAGGTTGGTAATTATTGTTCAGCATGAAAGTTCACTCACTCGGCAAATTTGACAATACAGGCAATTTTGGTTACGATGGTAATCATCCGTAAAGTGTCCATTGACGAGGATGCCAGGTGCCAGTGACATAAATGAGAAAAATGAGATGTCTCCAAATTAGCCTATATCGAAGGGTCAGTGACACAAAGACGTAACTCTATTTTGGCCATTTTGAGAAAAAGTATGTGTCACTGAGCACTTGGGCCTTATTAAGGAGTTACGTTTATGTTTCACCAGCCATTGACTTCAATGGGGTGTTGGGTGGATTTAAGTCTTTGTGTTTCCTGGAAAGCCCACATTTTTCTGAACATTATGATATCAAATACTCATTTGGGGAAATATGGAGTTACGTCTTTGTGTCACTGAACCCTCGATACGTAACACACGAAGACTAGCACGGTGGTGGCCACACTACAAACACTACACTGCAGTAGAATCAGTCATGCATGACATACTGGAGGAGACAACGAAAATACAACAGGTACATTGGTGAACACCGTAATGGCATAGAGATTGAGAGACGACACCAACATTGTGATGCACTGTATGTGAGGGTACATACATGCTCTTATAAAGAGTTGCAAGTTATTTGCGATTGATATCAATCGCAACTGTACCGGTACATAAGAGGAGAGTGCAAACTTGCGACTGATTCGGATCAATCGCAAATCTTTGTAAGACAGGGCCCTGGGTAATAATAATAATACTGTAAGCGCTTCGGCCACTTCCTGGTAAAGCGTTTTATATTAAAGAAACGGGTATCATTATTACAAGACATGAATGCACTAGGAATGCAATGCACCACGGGCGAGAGAGCGTGAACATGGCATAACAAAGGCTAGATGTTGGTAAACCGACACATGTGACATAGTTTTACAGATAGAGGTGATATTACATGATCGACTCGTTATACAAGCAGAGGAATGTACCTTAAAAAGAACCCAAATGGTAAAAGCCACTCCGTTCCTCTTTTAACAAGTAAATAGCTCCACTTCACACACTTTACTGCACCCCTCAGAGATTTAATTTTTCGCTGTAAAAAATATGAGGCTTTGTAAAATGTGATTTGAGGACAGTACCTCACTACATGTACAATTAACAACTAAATTATTCACACCCCTTGTAATTTGATATTTTTCAACTTTTTCTTTTTTTTAAACTCAAGAATAAAAGGCAGACTGGTTTAATTGGGGCCTTTGGTGAATACATGTAGATGTTAGCTTCAATATGTCATATTCTCAAGAAATATAAATCGGAACAAATCAATTTTCCACATACTTAAAAACAAAAAATTGGTAAGGGTATGAATAATTTAGTTGTTTACTGTAGGCCTTTGCACGACTATTCTACGACACATGCTCTGGCTATCATTGCTCGGCTAACTATTCCTTACACCAACTTTAACCCGCACCAAACACTACACCTAACCTGAAACCTAACCCTAACCCAAAATAAAAGAAGAAATAAAGCCCAGACCAACTGTCAGCTCAGCAAATGTTGCCAGACCAAATGAAGTAAGAAAAGATGGAAAAAATGCAAGTGTCAGATCATCTGCATGGCACTTTCTGGAAGAGGATTCACTTCATATTAAATACTAGCCTAACATCATTCAGATTCCCTTTTAATTTTTATGAATCCAAGTAGGTCTATGATGCTTTGATGGTTTATTCTACCTAACTGCTAAGAAAGTATGTGTATGCTTGTATGTAAGTAACAAATGGACCGATGGCTTTAGGTCCTCTCTGAGGGACTCAGTAATACAGATTAATGCCTTACCAAAGGGCATGAGCGCACCAATGACCTCCCAATTACGAGACGACTCCTCCACGGTTACCACAACAACCATGACTGTCTGTAGCAAGTATGATCTATTACACCAAATACCGGGAATACTTACCATGAAAATAATGATTCATAGTAATTATGTTCACTTCTTGTAATTATCTTCACATTTCACACATATTCATCAATGTCTCTCGGCTTCTAATGACCTGTAGATTACTTTTCCTGGCTGTAACATTCAAGGAATTACCTCCTACTGGTACCCTTTTAATTCACCTGGGTCAAGTGTGGCAAATGTAGACTGATGTCTTGCTACAGGACGTTAACCATTACCTCAACCTTTTCTTCATGAGACCGTCACTCGTACAAGTTCACAGATATCCCATTGAAACGTGTCCTAATTTTAATACACACATTTCAGTGGGATGTCAGGGACCTTGTACCTAGGACAGGTTTGTGAAATGCTACCCTCATTACAAATACCCCCTCTCAAAATTCCACCAGCTTTGCCGCCGACGCTTACAAATTAAATGTCTGTTGCCAAAGTCCATGCTCCCTATCAGTCTGTATTGGCTATGCTACGCAGTACATATTTGACTGTCCACGCAAACGCCGCAAAGCCCACGATGACAAGCACGTTGGCCATGGTGCTACCGACGATCCCAGCGGGTCGTTCCGCAGGGGCGTTAAAGTTATTCGTCCTTGTCCTCATCTGACTGTGGTCCGGGGACCTGTTGGCGTTGGATTCGGAACGCTGTTTGAGATCCTCTTCTTCTTTCTTTATTCTCTGCCTTATTTCCTGCAAAGAAGGATAGATTTGTTGATAAAGTTGAGTTGATAAAGAAGTTGTATTCCGGTTATGCGATTGCATTGTGAAATTAACATTGTGGAATCGATCAGAAAAGGTTGATCATAGCATATAAGTATTTGTGTGTACTGCAAGGTGCTGGAATCTTCAAAATTATAAGAAATTTGGCCCAGTCTTGGTAAAGTAACAAGCACCGTACACAGAAAGATGTATATGGGACTACAAGAAAAATCTGTCCTGATTGTTATGATGTTACATGCCAGATATAGAATATTAAGGCATTTGAAGAGCCATATTTTTCAGGGAACATTTTTTATCTGATGTTCTTCCACACTTGCATAATACAATTATAACGCTCACAAATTATTTTTCACCTCTTCCCAGAACTCAACCTTCTCTTTAAGTTTAAAATTCATACTACTTTCATGGTAATAAACTAGTTTATTTAACACTCACCTGAAAACGACAATATACCGGTACATAATTGGGCAGAAAAATCTAACTAAAAATGCAGAATAGTTTATGACATCTAAACTGGATCTCCAGCAAAAGTTGAGAATAGATATCAAGTTTTATAGACCAATTTTGGATTTCACGGTTATATCAACATTTTCTAGTAAAATGGTTGGATTGTACATAAAACCTCTCTAAGAATACTTTAAAAACATATTAGAATGTCTCAGGCAAGATGATTTTCATTTAGGGTACCTAAAGACAAACTTGCTTTCTTATTTTTTTTTCTCTTTATTTTGGAGGTTCAGTTGGCTCATGCTCATAAAAAAGTTGCTAGGCTTACAATTTTCTGTCCCTATATATTTTATTGATTCTTCATCATAGACCCCAACCTGCTGAATACCATGAATGACTTTAACCCTCTGTTTAAAGCGGGACTGCACTACTTCTAGTTACTTGCACCCTCTATACACCGATACGGGCGAATTTTCATGGATGTGAGCCCTCTACGTTTATCATTACACGCTGGGGGGCTTCTATCAGCTTGCGCTTTCATCTTGCATGCAACGATCATTGCTTTCTCACAGACAAACCACTTATTATTCCTTGCCGCTTTCGGACATTTCAACTTCATTTTGTCTAAATTTATTTCATTTACGATGGATGAATGGGTAGATGATGTCCGTCATTGGCGAGTTTTGCGTGCGTTTTCGGCAATAAGTTTGGGAGACGCCGTTGTAACGGTGCCCCACATATTCATTATCGTGTATGTTAACATGCAGATGATTTTATTGAATTGAAGAGAGTGAGAGACGGAATGATTTAGAGTTAGAATATAAATAATTCAAGGAATTTTAGCTAGCTGGAGCAGAGTTGTGAGTTCGATCTTACGGTACGGAGGCACTCTCACCACACCGCCAGTAGATGCGGGCCTAAGTACGAACGAGCTCTCGCTCATTCAACTTTCCCATTCAGGTGCTATCCAGAAGCCCCCCAGCTGCCCCCCAACTGTAGCGCCACTTACGGCGGCTTGCGTGGAAGGTCGCCCAAAGTGTATTTGTGTATACAGCCAACAATGCCTAAGCAGTACCCGTTGATCCCCATGGTCCCCTCATTCTTGTGTTAATTAAGAGCTTATATGATGAGATAACCACCTGCCAGTGACCAGGCAGGGAGGTCTAATCCCTCCTGGCCAAACTAGTGCAGATAGCCTTTAAAACAAATCATGCTATACAGGGTATATACAAAATTTGGTAATGGAATTTAAAGAGTAATTAACATGAATACATGATACAAATTCAAGGTAATAGCAAATCAATGAGCCTATTCTTAATAACGATTACATTTCCACAAACAAATGTTATAGTGAAAGAGATTCCTTGAAACAATTCTAATTAATATTGTTTCTTTATCAGTAAGAAGTCTTTTCCTTAAAAATAGGGTATAAATGCCCTTTGCAATATAACTTGTATTTATATTGAATACATTTTGAGAAGGGGTTACATTAGGAGAGAGGATATTATTTGTACTTACTTTTGCAGTGTCTGGGAAGAGCTCTAAAAATGTTGAATTTTTTATATTGAAGGCTCCGCTATCATGTGCAAATTGCCTTTTCTGTGAATGACAAAGAAAAATGAACAAATTATGAATATGGGGACGAGAAAATAATCTTCATATAGTACCTACATACTTTCAGTCCAGGAATGTCAGGCCAATTAGAAGGCTGTTACAGCAGAAGCACATACCTGCCAACAATTGAAAACAAGAAATCTGTACCCTTAACAGGCGATCGCACGGCCTTACCATGGCCATGTATCCAGCGGATGTGTAACTGGCAATATGGGGTAAATCTGTACAAAACAGCGATTGTGCAGCCATTCAACCCACGCAATACGCAAACTCTCAAATCGCAGCTCATGGTAAAACAAGCCAAATTTCACTTTAAGAACAACTAGATGGAATTCGACTGCGTGCAGTCGAAAATGATGCCTCCGTCATAGAGCAATTTTACAAACCAAAACAGAAGAAATTTTTCGAATTCAAGTTCAATAGTAATCCATTGACAGGTTCTCAGAATATCGTGATTACAAGCAATTTCTCATATACATATATGACCCTTTGATCTTTGACCTCATGACCCTAAAATCTACTCAGTTCATTGGCTCTGCAAGATGTCCTGAGTTAAATAGTAATCCATCTGTCAGTTCTAATGAGAATGCGTTCACAAGCTATTTTTGCATACATAATGAGCCCATGATCTTTGACCTTTGACCTTATGAACCAAGAATCTACTCAGTTCATTGGCTCTGCAAGTAACATACATGACCTAATTTTGGCAGGAATACAGACGGACGGACGGACAACCCGAAAACATAATGCCTCCGGCTACTTCGTAACGGAGGCATAAAAATTTAGGTCCTAAAAATTCAGAGAATCAGAATATTCTGATGAAAATGGAACAGTTGGCAGGTATGGAAGCATAATCCAGGGCCCTGTCTTACAAAAAGCTGTGATTGATCCATGTTGATTGCAAGTCCTCCAATCAATCAAACTTAAAGATAAACTTGAGTTCTGGTAATGCGATTGCATTGTGAAAGAAAAGGTGTGGAATGGATCAGAAAAGTTGATCATATAGCATGTAAGTAATGGTGTGTAATGCAAGGTTCTGGAGTCATTAAAATCATCATAAATTTGGCAGAGTCTTGGTAAAGTAACAATCACTTACACAGAAAGATGTATATGGGACAACACACATGGTGTCGGGGCTAGTACTACCCTGATTTCCTTATCTTTCTATGCTCATTACTCAGCCAGTATACATTTTCTTCCAAATTTTTTTGGCACATGACATTTATTTGTAATCTTGAACATTCAGTGTAAGTTTCGTTAGATTCTGTGAGAATTCATTTTCTTTTTTTTACCAGAACTCAAGTTTATCTTTAACTAAGAAACTCCTACATGTATCTCTTTAGTACAGAGCTGCGATTGATATCAAGTTATGAACGATCTGAATCTATCGCAACTGATTATATGACAAGGGTGCAGAGTCTCTGATGTAGACAAAATAATTGTAAAAGAATTTTGTGGATATTTACAATAAATTACCAGATTTAATGCATTGTCACATTTTATTTTGGCGATGAGAGAACAATAAATTATGTGATTTAGAGAGATCTGTTACGACTTTTTCACATTGACAAACTATTTTCTTATTACCATGAAATCCCTGAAGATTAATGCAAGACTCACTTATGTTGTACTGCTATCTTACAATTAACATAAAAAATGTACAGTCTGTATTAGTATATCAAGGAGATTTAGGGTGATTCAAAAAGTTACAGGAAGTGATGACTTCTTGCAATCAATATGCTTTAAGTGTTGAAGAGTATACATCTAAAGGCCACACAAGTAAAGTAAACCGGCCTCATATAAGCAGTTAATTGCTTGATAGACTCTATCTGTATCAAGGATAATCAATTGACCTTGAAGGTACTTAATCCATATAAAAAACATTGACATGATAATAGCATTACAGAATATGTTATGTTTACTATTGTCTGCTTTAGGTTGATACATTATGTTAGCCTTATATAGGGTCCTGTGACAAATGAAATTATTAGAGTCAGTTGCAAGCCCTTCAGCAGTAATTTTCCTTACAGAGTCTATATTCAATAGTTACATGAACTAAAGTGAAATTGAAGGAAAAAAAATACTGATGGATGGATGGCAGACATGCAAATTTCTTTTCTTCGTAAATTAATTAACTCTAGCTTTAGAGTTACGGTACATAGCCTAAAAGACAATATTTGCACCCTTTGAAATACAGTGAACCCGATTAGACAAAGATGGAGATCTGGGCCCTGTCTTAATACAAAGAATTGCGATTGATCCAAATCAATCGCAAGTTTAAAGTCTCCTATCTCTTATGTACATAGTTGTTATTGATATCGACTCTTCGAAAGACGGGGGCCCTGGAGAATATTAAGACATGGAGTGGAATGACACTGCAAGAGTATACTAGAATATCAGAGAACTCGATGTGTGGACAAATTGTTGCAATCTACCTCTGAGCTGGAAGAGGATACCTTACTAGCTAGATAGATTAAACTTACACATGTACACTGAACATTATCATCGTTCAGTTCAGTGCATGTAGATGCTGTGCCTGAGCTTTCAGGGTGAAATGGTCAATAAATACACTATACATCAACATTATATGAAGAAGAAAAAAGCTTTTTGTAGGAATTCTCACTTGTATGGCTTTCCAGTCACAAAACACAATGATGAAGTAAATTTGCATTTGATTATCTTGAACAAACAATTTTATGGGGTATAGCGGATCATTCAATTGACTCTCAATCCAAGGGATGAGGGTTCGAATCCCAGCCCAACATCGTTTGGCAAGACATTAATCCACATTTGCCACTCTCCACCCAGGTGTTAAATGGGTCCCAGCAATTACTGGGTTAATAGTAATTGCAGGGCCTTCAGGAAAAACAGCATTGGTGCAGATGAGGCTTCTCTCGGTTGAAAAACAAAACAAACAACAACAAAAACTTTTTTTTAATTATTTAAAAAAAATAAATTATTATGGACAACATTTGTTCCTTCTTTTTCATCCACAATCTTGTTAGAAAAATTATATGAGGCAGTTTATTTGACTTACAACAAAGTCTGTTGTTTCTATGCTGCCCCATGTCGGGTTCTTCTCGACCATGAAGCTGAGTAAACCGGTTAGGATGGTGGATACAGACCAGGCTGGATTCCAAGTGTCAGGATGAAAATCACTAATAGACAGACATAACCTGGAAAAAGAAAAATGTAGAAAATAGAGTGTTATAATTGCATTACCGGTATATACAGTAAGGTCCATTTAATTTACAATTTTACATAGGCACTGATACCCATTTCTAATACACATTTATCATCTATAGTAATTATGTGATAAACCTATTTGGTCTTTTATTATACTAGTTTCTCACAGCTGGCCTCATTGATTATTAAGAATCAATTTAATTTACATAAGCACTAAAGCCAATTTTGTTTTCAGTTTTCATGTGCAGAAGGTCTTGGTGGAAATACCATTAATGGGCGTACAATTCTCGCACGCAGTAAAACCGTTATTCTGTCAAGAATTATCCTATATAGTCTCTGAGAGTCTTCAGGTGAGGAAAATGTAAGATGATGACTTTACCGTATGAGAGGATGGGTAGAAAATGCCGAGAAGGCCTATTGGTCATAAAACTGAAGGCTAATCATAATGATTGACACCATCTGTTATTGGGTGAACAATTAAATGGTGTTAAATTTCCCATGAGAGCCTATTACTATTTGTCTTTATAAATGAATAAGTTTTGTTAGATCATCGAGTTAAAAATTATTTTATGTTTTACAAGAATTCAAGATTATCTTTAATTGGAATTACCTTGTATTTGTCTTGAACCTTCCATTGGGTGTGGTCATGTAAATGCTAGGAGGTTTGAAGGGGAATTCCCTGGGAAACACCAGCTTTCCATGGTATAGTCCTCCCTCGTAAGGAGTTTCCTTGGGGCCTCGTACAACATAATGCCTGTAAATTAAAAGTAATAGCAAGAGTGATTTACAAACAAATATTCAATCATGTAAAATTAGATAATGGAAGGAGTATGAACAGGGGGGCGTTTCACAAAACTTGTCATCAGTGACAAATGACATATTTTGTTATAAGCTACTGAAATCCTTGCTTCTGATTGGTTATCAGCAGATTTGTCACTGAATTTTGTCACTTGTCATTGAAAAAAGGCTTTGTGAAAGCCTTCCTGGGCTTGATGAAGGGCTCTAAGGATCTTAGATGCACTCTGGTACAATCTGACCCATATTTTTAGGCATCGTCACACCAATTTGATGACTAATATTCCATAAATGATATTAGTTGAGAATGGAGATATACCTGTAGTTACTTTTCAAATGTGTACAACAAAAATTTGACCCAGTCGCTGTTACAACTTTAATACCTTTTTTTGTACCACACTGGTAATACATGTAGCACTTTCAGTATAACTCTAAGAATGAGATTTTCTTTAGAATCAAATCAGCATTCTTGTGGAATTAGTGTAATTATAATGTGTGATAAATATCCTATTTCAGTTCCTCTTTTGGTATTAAAGGGAAAGTCCACCCCCAAAATAAGTTTGTTTCGATAGAGGCAGAATAATAAGAAAATCAGGTGAGTGAAAGTTTGAGCAAATTCTGAATGAAAATAAGAAAGTTATGAATTATTGAAGTTGTGATCAATCAAATACAAATTGGCAACTCTGTGACGTATTATATGAGCTCTCCTTCATTTGCTTTGTGCATAATATTCCATAAAATCATGTTTTCTTCGTTATTGATGACGGAATATATATTTGTTCCTTGCAGGGGGAGTATAGAAACATATTTGCAATTATTATATTTAGGGTGCATGTATGGTTGAAATTTTTCTTGAGGGAAAATGAAAATTTTAGATTTTTTTAGTACTGAGCAAATGGAAGTTGAGCTCGCATGATACGTCATAGAGTTGCCAATTTGTGTTTGATTGATCACAACTTCAAAAATCCTAACTTCCTTATTTTTAATCAGAATTTGCTCAAACTTTCACTGACTTGTTTCTCTCATTTTTCTACTCCTATTAAAACTAACTTAATTTCAGGGTGGACTTCCCCTTTAAGGAAAAAAGTTTCACCATAACAAGACACATAGATTCATACACAAAATGTGATGTTCTGCAATCTCTCCCTCTCCCTATTTGAAAAGAATATGACAATAAAGTATGAACCATCCAGGTACTTGCCCTGAAATTATCCGTTCAAGAGTTTGTACGTAATGTACATGTGTAGATTACAAATCATATTTCAATTAGAAATAGGACAATTAGAAAAAGAGACAAAAGTGTAAACTTCATTTAGTACTACAAATCTACAGACTTTCAAAGAGAGGAACAAAGAGAAAGAAGCTTGAACAGAATCACAAGCTAATGAAAAAAGAAAAGGAAAAGAGACGACAGAGAAGAAAGAAGAGAATATTTAATTTTACCATTCCAGGATATTTGATGGCAAAGGCTCAGCTGTAACGTAAGGAACCGGATCTTTCTTGAGTCTCATGTAGTCCTGCTTTAGCCTTGCCGAAGCCGTCGTGTTCACTCTTTTGCTCATCTTGTGTTCCAAAGTGTGAGTCTCTTGATCAGTAAGGTCCAGTCAAATTGGCAATCGAACTGCTGATTTGTAAAGTGTAGCTTACTTCTTCCACTTCCAATATTCAATCAATTGGCTACATGTACATGTACTGAAAGCTCTTTTTGTTTTCAGTCCAGTTTCTGTTTCCAGGGGCTTCAAAGAGTTTCGAAGATAAGTTATTGGAGTGTCTTGACACAGGTCCGAACACTTATTACTTCTTGGGTCCACTGAAATACAGGAAAAGCTTTGTGTTCATAAGGTCAGGACAGTATCTCGAGCTGGGCATTCTGCATCAGTCAGATCAGAGTGTATGTGTGTTGGTGGATCACTGGTGTGAACAGATCTTCTTTCACAAACTCAAACAGTTCCAAGCTTCCAACATGGATGGAGTCGTCCTAGCTAGCCCTACCTCTCACTCTCTCTCGTGTTTTACATCACTTGATCTGATGAAAAAAACAAAAAAAGGACAGTTATACAACAATGTCGATTTATATGTTGTTTTTTTAAGGGTCAGATATTCTGTCTCCCTTTCAATGACTTTTAACACAATTAGTCTAGACCATGACCATCTACAACATTTTACTTCATCCTTGACTTTAGCCTACAATATATTCTAATCTAATACACACACACACACTAAAAAGTAGGCCCCCTCTCACTTAAATTTGAAGCCACTCAAGCAGATCGGCCAATGGGAGCGCAAATTCTAAATGTACAGCGCTCAATACGTAAATTTCTACATGCCAACAGAGCAAAAATATGAAGAGAAGACCAGAAACTACGCCCTCTCACTCTCAGTCTCACATTTCCTGGCGAAAATCATCCAACAACGGTGGAAAACGCCATAAAACCTAACAACAACAACATAGTTAGCTCTTACCAGTATATCCTACATCACATGGCTACAATTCATGCAGATTCTCTATTAAACATGTTGAAAGTCAACACTTAACATCACAGCAACACAACTGTTCATGTCGCAAGAGACATGTCAATGCAAATTGCGATAGGCCTATCAGATATCTGGATGCACACAAAAGTCACAGCATGCAGCTTGCGGAACAGCCCGCAAAAATTGACACTGAAAACTCACACCAACTGCGAAAATTTTCATACCACAATTATCAATATCGTAAACTCCATATAAACTCATTATAACCTTATAATAATTAATGACTGAATATGTATCTAATGCTGGAAAATACCTTTTTACTTTGTCGATCTCTCACTCAATAGGCGTTCGTAGTACTAGTAGGCGCAGCGTACGTTTAGACTTTAAAGCTCCAACGTAACGTTAATGGCTATATAAGGTACCTACCAGCCGTTCCATCTATGCAGTGGCCTTTTCTCCGTGCAATTAGTGTATTGTTGCTAGTTTTAAAATATGAGAACGGCTGTAGAGAGACTGGCCCATTCAACCAACACAACCCAACATTACAGCTGCTAGCTGATGCATCTCGACTCCACGGATGACTTTTTATCTTCGAAATAGCAGAATGTTAACAAAGTAAGTATGTGTAGATCAATGCCTGGCTGATGGCCGAAATTCAGACCAATGAACCCTACAAATTAAAGTACTTAGTAGGTCTAGATGTAATTTTGAAGCCCGAATTCAGTCTCCGACTTCCATTTTTCCACAGTGGACAGTGCAGCAGTACAGACAGTGCCAGAGTGGATGCTAATGAATTTGATCACTGCATCCATCCATATACCTTTACCTTTACCGCAAATACTGGAAGAATGCTGAGACAGCAGTCGAGCTTCCAGGTCTATCTTCTTGTACTCATACTCTTTAGTAATAATTCTCATTATCAAATCCGTTATTCATCCATGTCACATGTACGAAAAGAGGACCTGTGTAGCTATGCAGAAACATTGCATTGTTAAATTGTTCACGACCTTTATCTCAAAGTGGCCAATTAATTCAATTCCATATAAAACAATGATGTGTCTTTAAGTCATTGATTTGGCTTTATTCTCATGAAACATAACAACAACACTTCCGTGTCGCCCCACCCTGCTTGTCGTGCTTGTGTTTGGGTTTTCTGTTTTAACAATTAAATTTAGATCTACAAGTTTTTTCTTCATGTCTTTAGATCTAGGGTCTAGATTAAGTTATTCAACCACCACTGGAAATAACATTTCCATCATTATTCATTCTGTACCAACGTGCTGTCCTAATGTCACGTTTTATTTTCAGGTGCTCAAGATGAGGATGTCACGTACATTCCAGTGGTTTCTCACCCGCTTTCTCTTATGCATCCCAATATTCTCTTTCTGCGGATTTGTTCTACTCCTTTCATCATGCAATGTAACTGAAGACTCCCCCAGAAAACCCTGCCCGCGGGAGAGCTCGAACCAAAATCAATTAAGGACGTTGGACGACAGTGGGGGCGAAAAACCACTTTCAGCATTTTTAGTCATACTGGTCATGTCCGGACCGAAACTCTTAGCAGGACGTCAAGTTTTACGCGACACGTGGCTGACATTACGAACAAGCGACATGATCGTAAAGTTTGCAATTGGCACTGCCAACTTGCCAGCGGAGCATCTGGAAGCCTTAGAGAGAGAACAGAAAGAGTATAATGATCTCCTATTCTTGCCAGACCTTGAAGACAGTTTCCTCGCTTTAACTCAAAAGTTGATTGATATGTTTGTATGGCTGGATCACAATGTGAGTTATAAGTTTGTGCTGAAAGTAGACGATGATTCCTTTGTTAGACTTGACGCCTTGACGAAGGAGCTGCCGCAGAAGAGCCAAGAGAAACTCTTCTGGGGGTTCTTTGATGGACGTGCCCGGGTACACAAGACTGGCAAGTATGCAGAGGCAGACTGGGTGTTGTGCGACCGCTACCTTCCCTACGCTAAAGGCGGTGGCTACGTCCTCTCCGCAGATCTAGTGCACTTCGTCAGCTTGAACGCAAAGTACCTCAAGAAATACAACGGCGAGGACGTATCGCTCGGATCTTGGCTGGCGGCAGTGGAAGTTAATCGTCAACACGACACACGCTTTGACACCGAATATCTGTCGAGGGGCTGTTCAAACACCTACCTGATCACGCATAAACAGACGCCAGACGATATGAGACAGAAATGGAAGCATTATAAAGACACAGGGCATCTGTGCTCTCAGGAACTTCAGACGAGACCTTCTTATATTTATGATTGGCAAAAGCCACCAACAGAATGTTGCATAAGAAAAAATGGTATACCATGATAAATTTTCAAGGATCTTAACAAATTCTACATCTAGTTTGACTTCTTCCAAAATTTGGTGCTACCAGTATATCACTTTTTATTCTTCTCTTTTTGTGCAGTTTATACATTGTACATTAAGCATTTACTGATCCTATGCATGCCATAACTTAGTCCAAATTAATAATAATTTCTCGATGTAACCTACAAATTCCAAGGATTTGTTTTTATGCCTCCGTTACGAAGTAGCCGGAGGCATTATGTTTTCGGGTTGTCCGTCCGTACGTACGTCTGTACGTACGTACGTCCCGTTCTCGTGATCGCGTTATCTGAAGAACCGATTGATGGATTCCTGCCAAACTTTGGTCATGTATGTATCTTGCAGAGCCAATGAACTGATTAGATTTTGTGGTCACAAGGTCAAAGGTCAAAGGTCACAGGGCTCATTATGTATGCAAAAACGGCTCGTGATCGCGTTATCTGAAGAACCGATTGATGGATTCCTGCCAAACTTTGGTCATGTATTTATCTTGCAGAGCCGATGAACTGATTAGATTTTGGGGTCACAAGGTCAAAGGTCAAAGGTCACAGGGCTCATTATGTATGCAAAAACAGCTCGTGATCGCGTTATCTCAAGAACCGATTGATGGATTCCTGCCAAACTTTGGTCATGTATGTTACTTGCAGAGCTGATGAACTGATTAGATTTTGGGGTCACGAGGTCAAAGGTCACAGGGCACATTATGTATGCAAAAAATAGCTTGTGATCATATAATCATTAGAACAGATTGATGGATTCCTGCCAAACTTCATTTATGTATCTTACAGAGCTAATAAACTGAGTAGATTCTTGGTTCATAAGGTCAAAGGTCAAAGGTCATGGGCTCATTATGTATGCAAAAATAGCTTGTGAACGCATTCTCATCAGAACTGACATATGGATTACTATTTAACTCAGGACATCTTGCAGAGCCAATGAACTGAGTAGATTTTAGGGTCATGAGGTCAAAGATCAAAGGGTCATATATGTATATGAGAAATTGCTTGTAATCACGATATTCTGAGAACCTGTTAATGGACTACAATTGAACTTGAATTTAAAAAATTTCTTCTGTTTTGGTTTGTAAAATTGCTCTATGACGGAGGCATCATTTTCGACTGCGCGCAGTCGAAATTCCATCTAGTTTAATGATTATATTACTTTTCCTATTCATCGTCAGTGCCAGTGGACCAACAATGTTGGTTACCGTCATTTGATGAATAGTTCAACAGTCACTATGTGTTTGCCCATTTTGGACATCCTAGAGCCTAAACAGGGTTTAAAACTAATTCATTTAATGTTGAATCTATTCTCTGATGCAATTTGTAGTATTGCAGGCCAGGGGTATATTTGTAAATGTGCATTTATGTGTAGCTTTGCTGCTTTTTCTGTTATTAACATTGGGCTTTCTTGCTATTTTAAAATTGTTTCTATCTTCTTAAAATATGATATCAGATGGGTAAAGAAATATAATAAAAAATTTGTCTCTTTATGTTGTTGTATTAATATTAATAATAATAATAATAATAATAATAATACGTCTTGTTTACCCAGGGTAGCCTCATCAGCATACATACTGTTCTCCCTGAGGGCCCTGCAATCTTATCATTACCCCGGCTTTAGCGGAGCTAGTGGAGCTACATGTACTTTGAAAAGAAGCTCAAGCATTCAAGGAATTTCTTCCGGGTACCCATTTACCTCACTTGGGTGGAGTATGGCAAATGTAGATTAATGTCTTGCCAAAGGATATTAGTGCCATGGCGGGACATTGTATTATTCCTGTGTAAGATCAACAGCAACAACTTGTAAATCTTTCAACTGTAATGTGATTGGACCCGTTGCAAATACGTGGCCCGAGTTGTCCCGGCATGATTTAATTTTTTTGAAATCTTTTAGGGTTAGGGTTTAGGGTTAGGGTTTAGGGTTTGGTTTTAGGGTTCAGTTTTAGGGTTACGGTTAGGGTTTAGCATTAGGGTTAGGGTTAAAGTTAGGGTATGCGGGGATAACTTGGCCCATATTTGCAGCGGGCCGAGTCCGAGTACGCCCGGATTCATGTGAATAATGCTCTCCCATCCTGCCTATCAGTGAAACAGTGATCCAGAGTCATGTCTTGCAAATGGTACATGTTAAAATTCAGAGTTACAGTATTTTCTGTTATCAATCATTATTATTTATACTGTTAATGTTCACCTATGTATAATGCATCAGTATTGTGAGGAAAGCAGAAAAATCACAGTAGACTGGTGAAAGTTTGAATATAATCAGACAAAAAATGAGAAAGTTATGTAGTGGGGAACCACTTTCTCATTTTTTCCAACACACAAAATGACCACCACTAACAAAACAAAAAAAACAAAAATGTTGTTTTTCTTCTAAAATTCATGACTGAGGATTATTTTCTCTTTAGAGGACCAATGCTCATAAATATCTTATCCATAACATATTTTGAGTAGTGCCCCAAGGGAGAAGGCACTTTAGAGAGAAACAAACATAAATGAGTAATAACTGTGTACATGAGGAACAGGAGAGTTATCTGCAACTATGTCACAATCCACTGACCAAACTGCCAGTTTGAAATTTGCATGGACATTATTGATCTCATATTTTGAACATTCATAAATTCTTATTATTGATCTGATTTATTTCAAACTTTTGCCATACGGTTTAATCTTATATTTCTGCTGTCATACAAATAAACTTAGTTAAAGGGTTGGATTGCCCTTTAATCATACCAGTGTGGACTGAATAAATTTGGTATTTGTGAGCCTTGTGATCCCAAACCAAATTTTTACAAATGAACATGTCATCCAGACATAAATTCATGTATTTGATTGATGCAAGCCTTCAAAGACCACACTCAAATACATTTTTTATATGGCTGCAATCTGCTTCTGTCAACTCAAAGATTATTTTACTGACTTTTGTATGAATATATATGTTATATACATTATGTGTATCGCAATACCATGTAACACCACAGATTTCCATTGTTAAATGGACAATAAATATGAACCTTATGAACCTTATTTCATACATTATTGTGGTTTTGCTTGTTAGTCATCATTCTACTTGCCCAGTCAGTGTCATCATCATACCATCTGTTTGGAGCCTGAAGGGCATTAACTCATATACACCTACACCTAACAAATAGTATATTAATTATATCATATTTCTATGTCTGTTGTTTTCATTTAATATGCGAGCTTTTTACTTCAATTGTGTTTGTCGTAATTTATTCATATGAAACATTTAATATCATATATCTTTAATGCTTGTTATTTTTATTTGGTGCACCAGCTTTTTGATTTAATTTTGTTTTATATACATGTATGTATGTCATCTAAAGGTTTCCCGATGTACACACTGTATTTACATTCAATTTGGTGTCGATATGATCTGTTTTATGCTTTTTACACGGACTTGCTGAAAAGCAGTCTTTTTAGGGGGATGTGAGTTTTACCATGATTAAATCAATCTAATTCAATTCAAAAGTTAAAGCCCTTCTGGTTACAAACAGACTATACTTGATGTACTAGTACTTAATAAATTGTATTTCTATCTTTGTGCAGTTTAAGATACAAAATAAAAGAATACTATGAAGGTATTAAACTTGATGGATTTTACATTAATTTCAAAATGCTGCTTTAATAAACATAATTCATATTTTGCAACTCTTTTTCTCAATCTGAACTTGTGTTCAACTGTTTTTAGGCAATAGAAATGAATATATTCAGAGAAAGAGAGAGAGAGAGAGAGAGAGAGTCTGAGATGTAAAGACAATACAATAAAGAGCAAACCAAAATATGTTTTGTATTGGTAGTAATCTAATGCAATCAGAAAATTAATGTGCAATCGCTGATTCCAAAGAAATTGCCAAAGTCAATTGATAAATAATGAATGAACTTGATTTTGAATTGAAAAGCAGCAAAGTGACTATATAGTAACTTCGTTTTTTTATTGGAATAATATTCAAAAGCACTTACTGTCTCCCTTTGAGGCAAATATTGAAAAACCATTCCGAAGCAGCTACAATGATTATTAGCACCAAAGAGATTATTCTAAAACCACACTTTTATTTGTCCATTTGAAATCCAAAGTAAAACAGCACAAAAAGTGGGGAAAAATAAAGACTTTAAAAGTTGACGTTATATGGAAAAATTGACAGAGAGAGGAGAGAGAGAGAGAGAGAGAGAGAGAGAGAGAGAAGAGAGAGAGAGAGAGAAGAGAGATGGGATCTTAAGGAAAGATTCCTTTTTTCCCTTCTTTTCTTTTCTTTTCTTTTTTCGATTAGTTTTGAACACCTGTAAATCTATTATCTTTTTTTGTCAGTAAGGAAATTGGACCCCCACCCTTTACTTTTTCTTTACTAAAATCCTGGACAGTGGACACACCTCGAGAGTAATAGAGAAAGGGAGATGGAGACAGAATGGGAGAGGTATTCATTGGGTGAAGAATGAAGCAATCGTGAAATGAGAAACGTAATTATCATGAGCATAAGACCAAGACATCCCCTTCTTTCCTCTCGTTTCTTTCAACACCTGATAAAACTTTAACAATCTTCGTATCTTTCTTTTGTTGCTTTGTTTTTGTTTGTTTTATATATTCTTCCAGTCTTCAGTCCAATTTGCACTGAGTGGCAAAAGTCATTTTTGTATCACGAGTATATTAAGAACAAATATATATTTAGAACATATACAATTTATGTTTTAAATACTTTTCACTTTTATTTTGGTCTTCATTGCCCCCCCCCCCTCCCCCCTCCTTGTGTTCTCTCTTGCGCTCTGTCTCTGTCTCTCTCTCTCTCTGTCTCACACACACTCTCCCTCCCTCCATTCCTCCATCCTTTCCTCCCTCATTGCACCCCTCCCCTCAGCAACATTCCATTTGTTGAAAGCCAGCATGCATCGAGAGGAAATGTCGATTGGGGTTCTCCTGATTCTCTATAAGCAGATTCTTAATTCTTTATGTTTGTGTTAAAATTTCACCCCTACATGCCTACCCGTAAACAATAACTATATTGTGGACGAATAAGATTTTCAAGGTGACCATGTTAATAATTTCAATTCTAGAAAATATGCTTCGGAAATATTGAAAGATAAAACCTTTTTAAAGAAGTTTGGCTTGGGGAATATGTCGACCAAAAAGTTTCAGTCGTGGTATTCTACAAATACAAGTGAAAGAACTGACCGCTCATGCCCTCATCAAAGTAACCAAGCTATAAAGAGGCATACAATCAGTGGGATCATTTAAACAGAAATATATGGTGCCATATAATTCTGCTCTAAATTTGGGAATCTATTCATTAAGTTTTTTGTTAAAAGACGACCATAAAATAAGAAAAGTAAAAGGCGCGCCACAATATGTTTGGAATAAGAGCTCCGATTTATAATTCCGTCATGTGTAATGTGAAATAGGGCACATGCACCCTCTCGTAATTCCCTCACTGCGTGCCTTTTTGTAGCCATGGTTACCAGTCATCACTTTCCACATTCACCATTATACCCCCACCCCTTTTCCCTAAAATCCTGACTCTGCCTCATCACCTTCCAGTGGCTTTTTATTGACCTCTGAGCTAGAACCTGGAAATCGTTCCAAACATGAGCTCTTTGCCCGCTGACCTTGCGTAGTCTCAATTTGGTGACGAGAGGAAATCGCTTGGTCGGTAAGTTTCAATACTTGTAGTTGACTGTCCCTACATCCGATTTGAATGATCAGCTAACTGCGACCAGTGCAGTGGTGTTGTTAGCTTTGGATATTGAGCCGTCAAACAAACTCGTTTACATACTCAGGATACCAATCGTAATACATAATTTTCCTCGAAATTAAATAGCAATAACTAGAGCTAGTTTCTGGCATCCTCATCAAAGACGTTACAAACTTTCTCTCAACACGCCGCATCACTAAAGGAGGGAGACTCTGGCCCTGGTACTTATTTTTACGTACGTGTCGTGGTAGAACTTGTATACGCTGGAGTCGCGAAGTCGCAGGATCGCTAAGGTTAGATACTTTTCTCTTCTTTCATCACTTTGAACTAACACATTAATAACTCTTTCCCAGCTGAAAGTAGCATGGGATTGAAAGACTGTACATTGAGTATTTAACCTCGTAATGTTTGAAAGTATGACATCTTTGTCTGATAAACTTCCGATGGATTTGTGAAGTTCAGAAGTTCGGTTTTGACTTTTGCATCCCCTCCGGACAATCTGCACAGCCGTGCCACGTAAGCAGGAGATTTGTGTGTGTATTGGTAGAGAGAGAGAGATGGTGGTATATACTACAACTGAAAGATGGTCGGCAAAATGTAATCTAGTGAATTTAGGATGATCGGGGACGTTTATGTTGGAGATCAAACCAGCACGTGTGCAGTGAGCTGGGTAAATATTGCAGCTTGATAATATTGGCATGAAAGTCTTTATAAATTTTGCTCCTGACTGAAATAGTTCAGTCAAGCATGCATAGCTGTCATCCATTCCGATTGGCAGATAGTTCTTATTACAGAGTGAACATATGGCATTGGTGCATTCTCTTGTAAGAATTGAAATGGTGCATGTGCTGGTTGAATGATATGGTTTAAAATCACTAACAATATACAATCAATGATCAGTAGTGGAGCCAGGGGCCTGCATGGGCCTGGGGACTCAGCCCCACCCCCCCCCCCCCCCCCAAATCATGAAAATCACAATCTAGCATACCGGTACTTTATATTATCAACAATAGTTGATCCCCCAGTTTTAGTCAACATAAAGCTGGCTCCAATACATTTTGTTGATAACCTTTCTTTTCTCCTTTGCCTTTTGCCTTGTTTTTTTCTTCTTTTATATATAAATTTGTCTTGCTTGTTAGAAATTTTGGCTAGTGCCCCAGCCCCCATTCCACCAGCCCGAGAATCCTGATGCAAACAATGGCCATTGTAGCTTCAGAAGTTTTCTTGATCACGAAAGGCGACACAAATATTGACAATACATCATTTTTTCTGTATCTTCCAATTCATTATGTTGGATATTGTTATTGTTTATGTTAGTATATATATATATATGATTACAAAAGATGTTACGGAAAAGTGTCATTTTTATTCTTGAGAGCACTAACATTTTCTTGAATGTAATACATGTATAAAACTATTGACACTCATGATTATTCTCATCACTCTCATCCTCATACTCATCATTCTCACCATCACTCTCATCTTCACTCTCATCATCAAACTCATCTCACTGTTATCCTCACTCTCATCATCACTCTCATCATCACTCTCATCATCACTCTCATCTTCACTCACATCCTCACTCTCATCCTCACTCTCATCCTCACTCTCATCCTCACTCTCATCCTCACTCTCATCCTCACTCTCATCTCACTCTCATCTCACTCTCATCCTCACTCTCATCTCACTCTCATCTCACTCTCATCCTCACTCTCATCCTCACTCTCATCTTACTCTCATCATCAAACTCATCTCACTCTCATCCTCACTCTCATCCTCACTCTCATCCTCACTCTCATCTTCACTCACATCCTCACTTTCATCTCACTCTCATCCTCACTCTCATCTTCACTCACATCCTCACTCTCATCTTCACTCTCATCCTCACTCTCATCCTCACTCTCATCCTCACTCTCATCTCACTCTCATCTCACTCTCATCATCATTCTCATCCTCACATCCTCACTCTCATCTCACTCTCATCTTCACTCACATCCTCACTATCATCTCACTCTCATCCTCACTATCATCTCACTCTCATCCTCACTTTCATCTTCACTCACATCCTCACTCTCATCCTCACTCTCATCTCACTCTCATCCTCACTCTCATCCTCACTCTCATCCTCACTCTCATCATCAAACTTGTCTCACTCTTATCCTCACTCTCATCCTCACTATCATCTCACTCTCATCCTCACTCTCATCCTCACTCTCATCCTCACTCTCATCCTCACTCTCATCTCACTCTCATCTCACTCTCATCCTCACTCTCATCATCACTCTCATCATCAAACTTGTCTCACTCTTATCCTCACTCTCACCTCACTCTCATCATCAAACTCATCTCACTCTCACCATCACTCTCATCCTCACTCTCATCCTCACTCTCATCCTCACTCTCATCTCACTCTCATCTCACTCTCATCCTCACTCTCATCTCACTCTCATCATCAAACTTGTCTCACTCTTATCCTCACTCTCACCTCACTCTCATCATCAAACTCATCTCACTCTCACCATCACTCTCATCCTCACTCACATCCTCACTCTCATCTCACTCTCATCTTCACTCACATCCTCACTCTCATCCTCACTCTCATCTTACTCTCATCATCAAACTCATCTCACTCTCATCCTCACTCTCATCCTCACTCTCATCCTCACTCTCATCTTCACTCACATCCTCACTCTCATCTCACTCTCATCCTCACTCTCATCTTCACTCACATCCTCACGCTCATCTTCACTCTCATCCTCACTCTCATCCTCACTCTCATCCTCACTCTCATCTCACTCTCATCTCACTCTCATCATCACTCTCATCCTCACATCCTCACTCTCATCCTCACTCTCATCTCACTCTCATCTCACTCTCATCATCACTCTCATCCTCACATCCTCACTCTCATCTCACTCTCATCTTCACTCACATCCTCACTATCATCTCACTCTCATCCTCACTATCATCTCACTCTCATCCTCACTCTCATCTTCACTCACATCCTCACTCTCATCTTCACTCACATCCTCACTTTATCTTACTCTCATCCTCACTCTCATCTCACTCTCATCATCACTCTCATCTCACTCTCATCCTCACGCTCATCCCACTCTCATCCTCAAACTCATCTCACTCTCATCATCAATATCATCACTCTCATCATCAATATCATTCTCACTCTCATCTCACTCTCATCCCATCCTCACTCTCATCTCACTCTCATCCTCTCTCTTTAATTATTCTCATCATCACTCTCATCACTCTCACTATCACTCTCATCATCACTCTCATATTTTCTTGGTTTGATTTCTTTCCTTTGGTGAAGCCCATTTAGGAAAGCCTTCATTTTGCCTTAAAGGTAAAGATCACTCTCATCATCACTCTCATCATCAAACTTGTCTCACTCTTATCCTCACTCTCACCTCACTCTCATCATCAAACTCATCTCACTCTCACCATCACTCTCATCCTCACTCTCATCCTCACTCTCATCCTCACTCTCATCTCACTCTCATCTCACTCTCATCCTCACTCTCATCTCACTCTCATCATCAAACTTGTCTCACTCTTATCCTCACTCTCACCTCACTCTCATCATCAAACTCATCTCACTCTCACCATCACTCTCATCCTCACTCACATCCTCACTCTCATCTCACTCTCATCTTCACTCACATCCTCACTCTCATCCTCACTCTCATCTTACTCTCATCATCAAACTCATCTCACTCTCATCCTCACTCTCATCCTCACTCTCATCCTCACTCTCATCTTCACTCACATCCTCACTCTCATCTCACTCTCATCCTCACTCTCATCTTCACTCACATCCTCACTCTCATCTTCACTCTCATCCTCACTCTCATCCTCACTCTCATCCTCACTCTCATCTCACTCTCATCTCACTCTCATCATCACTCTCATCCTCACATCCTCACTCTCATCCTCACTCTCATCTCACTCTCATCTCACTCTCATCATCACTCTCATCCTCACATCCTCACTCTCATCTCACTCTCATCTTCACTCACATCCTCACTATCATCTCACTCTCATCCTCACTATCATCTCACTCTCATCCTCACTCTCATCTTCACTCACATCCTCACTCTCATCTTCACTCACATCCTCACTTTATCTTACTCTCATCCTCACTCTCATCTCACTCTCATCATCACTCTCATCTCACTCTCATCCTCACGCTCATCCCACTCTCATCCTCAAACTCATCTCACTCTCATCATCAATATCATCACTCTCATCATCAATATCATTCTCACTCTCATCTCACTCTCATCCCATCCTCACTCTCATCTCACTCTCATCCTCTCTCTTTAATTATTCTCATCATCACTCTCATCACTCTCACTATCACTCTCATCATCACTCTCATATTTTCTTGGTTTGATTTCTTTCCTTTGGTGAAGCCCATTTAGGAAAGCCTTCATTTTGCCTTAAAGGTAAAGATCAGTTGTAGAAATGCCTGCCTCTCAAAAAATGAAATGGAAGCTTTTATTACCAATCATGTGAAAGAATATGTTTTTTAATAATATCGTCGCTGTTTTCACGAAGTGGCGGTAGTGAAAAAAATTGCATTCACTTTGCGTTACGATTTTCCTCACTACCGTCACTTCGTGAAAACAAGGACGATATGTGATACAAATTTTGCTGAGAAACCGCCTACTAATTGATATATTTGGTAAATTATTATATCTATTTGGACCTAATAGATATCGTGCACGTGTCATGTAGTCTTTCTGTGTACAGTGCTTGTAACTTTACCAAGACTGTGCCAAATTTCTTATCATTTTGATGATTCTAGAACCTTGCAGTACACACCTATACAGTACTTATATGCTAGATGATCAACATTTTCTGATCAATTCCACAACGTTTCTTTCACAATGCAATCGCATGACCATAACTGGTCTTTGTCTTTAACATACTTTCATTGTATGTTTGTTACTAATGGTTCAATGGCAGGAGCAAAAATTTCAATGTCATTAAACTAAAAGCTTTTTCCTCTTTGCATATTCTCACAGAGCAAGGACCCTTTTGTCAGAATCTACCCGACCATGGCACGGAAGGCAAAGTCTCAAGCTCTGACGCTTCTGCTCGTCGTCCCTCTCCTGTCTTTTGCTGGAGTCATGTTCTACATGTCCAAGTGTACTCCCGGTCCTGCACCGGAGTGTCCTCAGCCGGACAACAGCCGCATCACCAACGAGGGGCTCAAGTCGGTCAAGCGTGACCACACCGCATTCCTCGTTGTCCTTATCATGTCTGGACCTCAACTGGACGCGAGACGGTACACCATCCGTGAGACGTGGATGACGAAGAGGACGAAAGACATCATCATCAAGTTCGTGATCGGGACGCACGGACTATCCGGAGAGGAGAAGAAGCAGTTGGAGAAGGAGAGTGCTCAGCACCATGATCTCCTTCTCCTGACATCCCTCCAGGAGAACCTACTGTCAAACACCCAGAAGCTTATAGATTCCTTCGTCTGGGTCGACAGGCACGTGGACACCAACTTTGTGCTGAAGGTCGACGACGACTCCCTGGTAAGGTTGGATGCTCTGTCCCGGGAGCTTCGCAGCAAAAACCATGAGAGGCTTTACTGGGGATTCTTTGATGGACGCCAGCACGCACATACCCGTGGAAAGTACGCCGAGAACGACTGGCTCCTCTGTGACCACTATCTCCCATTTGCCATCGGTGGTGGCTACATCTTATCCAGCGATTTGATCCACTATGTTGCCATCAACGCCAAGATGCTCAAAAAGTACAATGCAGAAGACATATCGCTGGGTTCGTGGCTAGCTGCAGTCGATGTCGACAGGGAGCATGATCCTCGCTTTGATACGGAGTACAAGTCGCGAGGCTGTCGCAACGTGTACCTCATCTCGCACAAACAGACAAGCCAGGAGCTCAAGGAGAAATGGAGCCACTTGCAGAAGACCGGTAAAATGTGCCAAAAGGAAGAGCAGCTTCGGCAATCTTACGTTTACAACTGGAACAAACCGCCCACGGAGTGCTGTGAAAGGGTACAGGGTGTTCCTTGATTGACATTTCAAATGATAGAATTACTTCAAGGATGTACATGTATTTCACATTGACCGAACTTGCATGAAACAGGGTGTATGGGAGTGACTATTGTGAAATTAGGCACTTCATCTATCATCAGTTAAACAAAACTGAGCTTCCAAATTCAACATTTAATAATTCACATTAGAGTAAAAAGGTGTGCAGCAAATGAAATTGACAAGAAATAAAACATGTGCAAGGAAGAATATTTTATTAGACTGACCTCGCATGAACCAGGGTATTTTATATTATTGTGAAATTAGATCCTTCATTCTGTATCCGTTCATTGCCATTCAACAAAAGTCAATATATGCACAATTTGTCAATAGTTTTACTAATGATGATGTGAAGAGAATCGTTTCTATATCGCTTTACAGTTTATACTAATGTTTCTAAGCACTGTACTATTGTTACCCCGCCATTAAGCCGAGCTACTGTGATAGGCGCTCCAGAAATATTCTCTTCCCAGGGTACTCAGATTTACATAATAATAATCTTCCTACAATGAGGAATATAACATTAGCAACACAAAACTTGCTTATTAGATTCTTGCCTAACAAATGTAATAACTAATGCAATCAAGTACTACAATATTGTTACATGTACTTTTTTTATGATGAAATCCAAAGATTTTTTTATTTTGTAATTTCATTTCAAGGTTTATCAAAAACATATGTTGATGTTCACAGCCTGATGGATGAATTGTCATGTTTTACAGATCTTTAATAATAAAAAAAAACTTTACAATAAACAAAAGCAGAACTGCAATGAATGTTTAAAGAATAACGAAATACAAATATGTTTGTATGCTATTCAGTTTTGTGTTTTTATGTTAATGAAATACATAATTATGGATAGATAGATAGATAGATAGATATTTGGTTTTATTCAAGTACTGATTAAAAAGTCCGAAGACTAAACAAGTCAGTTTACAATATAAAATGCATAACAAAAATAAAACAAGGTAAAATAAAACATGGATGAATTAAATCATTAATAAGTAAAATTAAATTGATGTCTTGCCTTATTATTATGCAACAACTCTATATCAATTTCACTGCATAGTTTATTTCATAATCATAACCACTTCAGTTAATTATGAACATCTAGAGCAAATTTGGATGAATTTGATGAAATTCAGTGACTTAGCTAGGTAGTAGTTCTCTCTCTTGGAGTGGCAGCTGAATGAGACGATGTTATGTATTTAAGAAATTTAGTCATCTTGCCCAAAAAAGGTGCAATTCTATCTTGTCCAGCCAATTCTTGTCCGTTAAAATGTTGAAATAATGTTGTGCTTGTCTGTTGTGAACATAATTTCATAAACGCTATATTAAGACAGAAAATGAATTTCTTAAACTAACTTGGCGACCTATGATTTATGTTTCATAGGCTTAAATGAGCATCTAAACATGCATCATATCTTTTTTTAAACTGTAATCCTTTTCGAAGTACCTAGTGTGTAAAAATGTAAATCGCACATGTTTATAAAGACCTTGATTTTGAATGTCAATCAATGCCAATCAATGCCAAATTATCAATAGAAAACTTTGTTTAGCAAATCTTAGAAAGTTGATAGTGTTTTCGTAACCAGATTTCATATTTTGAGATATTTAAACAAAAATTACTTTGTTTTGGTCATTATGCTACTTTGCTGTGTGAACTGATTCGTGTAATGACATGTAGTCTAAGAAATGTATATTGAAAAATGATAGCATCTTTAATCAGTATACTTTGTTTTTATGATAATGAAATATAACTGATGAGTGTGTGTGTGTCATATTGGTACACGTAGACGTATAAAGTCAGATGATTTTACTAGTTGTACAGCTGAATTCCTGTATATACAATTATACATGTACATTTAAATGCAATGTTTCAGCTTTAAAAGCCCCACTGTACTACTTGTAGCTACTTGCTCCCTCTATATCGAAACAATGCCCAATCGGTGACCATTGGTCCCCCATGATCCTATTTTTCTTATGTTAATTGAGAGCCGAGTTGATGAGATAGCCACCTATCAGTCACCACCTGGGCGGTCTAATCCCTCCTAACCAAACTAGTACAGAAGGGCTTTAAAAGCTATGAGATTTAAGGCTCTGAGCTGAACAGATTTATTCAAATAAATATTATCCACAATCCTATTCTTGACCAATGCAGGCACCCTCATCTTTTTGACACTGATGAACGAGGGCACTTCATCAGAGCCTACAGGGGCAATTTTAGAGCAGGGGCATGACTGGCGTATCCAATATTATCTGGCAGGGGGGGGGGGGGGGTGGGGGGGGGTGCAAAAATATGAATTGTATTCTTACAACAGCCCAATTGTAAAATACCTGAAAAGCTTAATACATAATCCTGAATTTAATTAACTTTGATGTGTGTTCCTATTTAGTTGTATCTTTCTTGAGTATATGATTTTGTTTTAATGTACATAAATTTATCAACTAACAAATCAATATTTTTGTAAGATGTAGAATTTGTGAATAAAATTATGACCAATCAGTGTATAATCATGTTTGCAAATCTATTTTTGTCAGTAAGATCATTTTTCTGAAGTATTATTGTCCTAAAAAGCAGAACTGCTATTCTCTAGAATGTAACCCGATGCCCTTGAAAGTCGTGTTAATATTTTAAAACATTTCTACGGGGAGGGATGGCTCAGTGGTAGAGCAGTGATCTCTTAACTGGGAGGTCTCAGGTTCAAAACCCAGTTGATATGCTTGTGCCATGTGGTAAGGCATTAATCCTCATTATCAAGTTCCTAGGAGAAGAGTTAAAGATAAAATTGAGTTCTGATTGCATTGTGAAAGACACGTTGTGGAATTGATCAGAAAGAGTTGATCATCTAGCATATAAGTATTGGTGTGTAGTGCAAGGTTCTGGAGTCATCAAAATGATAGGAAATTTGGCCCAGTCTTGGTAAAAGTATCAAGCACTTCATGCAGACAGATGTATATGGGACTACACAAACATGTGGCATAAAAATCTGTCCTGATTTGTATACTGTTACATGCCATATTTATAATATTAAGATATTTGAAGAGCCAAGCTTTTCAGGGAACATTTCTTCTCTGCTGTTCTACCACACTTGCATATCAAAATAACAATGATAACGCTCACAAATCATTTATTACCTCTCCCCAGAACTCAACCTTTTCTTTAAAGCCATTGGTTCCCTGGTTGCTTACCGTACTTCCAAGCATGCACATGCTTCGTTCACTGCCGGGTAAAACAATCATCAAACACTTTCATTGTCCACACAGAATGAGTGATGAATATCAATTTCACAGAAATCAAATTAAACAAATACAACGGTGTAGAGTCCTGGTGTTTTTTATTGCAAAATAACTTCTCAATGCCAAAGAAGGAGTGGGGACAACAAAAGCACTTACAGTTACACCATATCCACCATTCAATTAGGAATTCAATTTCAGTAAAAAGTGAAGAAAAATATCAAACAAATTCACATAATCATCATTTATCAAACTGGCCAAAATACTGAATCTTGAATCAAATTCCTCAAACAGAATAGCCCAATATCAAAATTATACTAGAATTATATAAAAGTGATACCAGTCTTTTGGTTTCAGATAGAATTACACAATGACAGAGTACTTTATAGTTTTATTAGATACATGTATCAAAATTAATGACTGACCAAATATCACGGTATCGCAGTATTACAAAGTCAAGATTAATTTTCTTTCCGAAATTTCAGTGGGGTTTCTTTCTTGATATCAGTCTGATCTCTCAAAGAAATTTGGTTAACGACAATAGAGGGAGGTAGACAAACATTTATTTGTGTAGACAAATGGGCATACTAGTGACTGAAAAGTCTGCACATTAAATACTTAGCACCTTTTTTATGTCATTTGCCTGTGATGCAAAAAAAGGAAAAAAAGCTGTCAATAATTTGTTGTTACATCTTAGCAAAACAATCATAATAACCAGGATTGTAATTTAGTACACATCATTAATTTCACAATTGGACAAGAATTGTGATCGCCAAATAAAGCAAGTGCTTGATACTTCATATTTTTCTCTTCTTTTCTTTATAATTAATTTATTCATTGACACCGTTGTAGGGTTGTTATCCTTCTCTCAAAATCATCAATCGCCTTGCTTAATGAAACTTAAAAACTCTTTAAAAACAAACATCCTTTTGTTCTTTTCAAAATACACATACTTTTGGGGTGGAATGATGAAAATGCTGATAATACTTCTTTTGCAAAAGAAAAAAAATACCATGGATGACTCGACCACAAATATTTCATACTTTCAGTTTGTGCATTTCAAAAGTATCAAGTACTCTTTCACTTTGAAATTTGGCTTCAGAAAATGTCACATTCTTTTTACTTTTCATACTGTACAAACAACAAAAGATATACTCATATTTCTCAGAAATATTTCCATACTTTCAACGTGAATAGTTGCATAAACTTTATTTTGGTCACGTATTTGGCAGCTCATAGTACAACGACAATCATAAATTTTCCAGCAAAAATCTCTTCATATGAAATAGTTTAAACATATGAAAGCTCAATATTTTCATAACAGCATTATTGCTGATAATTTTTTTTCTCCACTATAAAAAATGGTCCTCGATAGTACAGTAACAAGAAATAAAGCACAATTGGTTTCAAATCCTAATCTTTAGGAGTAAAAATATAGGTAAATATTTACTTTCTAGATATTTGTTCATTTTTACTTTGTTTTTGTCTTTGTTCGGTCCATGAGCCTGCGTGTGATGGAAATATTTCTGAACATTTAGTAACAACACATTATTATATACTTTGAATGATATCAACCTGTAAATCTAATGGGGAAACAAAAACACCTTTATGAAATAATGAATAACGTACACAGAGACTTTTAAGAGAAATGAATGAGCAATTCCTTTCACTTAGATGTGATTATTAAACAGGCTTTGTTTCTTTTTCAACAAAATATGTTTAAATTCATGATAATTTTTTCAAAGTGATTGTGATTAAAACTGTATGCTCCAGCAAAGTTGATGTCCATCAACATTATATGTCAACAAATCATTGAATCAATTTCATCTGCAAAGAATATTTATATATAATTTATCTGCTCCTGCAATCAAATAAATATATTGGCTTGATTATCTTAAATTCAAATTTCAAAATTGTATTCTTTTGATAAATTGGAACCATTCAAATGTCTTGCCTTTTCCTCTCCAAAGTTCATCGTCCCACGGATAGGACATTTAAATGCAAGTCCCATGGATGACAGAGCCAACCTCTATGCACATTAACCTTTCAAGATCTGTGCGTGAGATAACTTGGGCCTGTAGTCGTTCTAATAAAAACTGAAGTGAAATAAAAGAGAGGGTAAAATTCCCATGTTCACATAGTGCAAGACACCAGCATAGCCCCATCAATACAGTTGTGAAAGCTTAGCCAGCAATGGTTTGATAGCTTATACAATTCAAATGAAGTCAACTACTACGACTCCTTCTACTTACATTCTACAATCTTAACTGACTATCAATGTTTTTCAAACTAAATCATTTTACGAGTTGCTGTCACAAGTCACATGGCGTCACCAGCATCGGAGGGTCATGCCACTTTTCTTTACACTGGATTTAGATAACTACAACGCTTGGTTTAAACAGGGCGTTTGATCTGAGCGCTTCTTTTCTTCTCACAAATGGAACAATTTACATGTACTGAAAGAAAATTTATCAAAATATCACATATTTTGTATTCA